GGGCTGGCAGCTGGTGTCACCCAGGCCCAGCTCTGGCCTCTCCCACCCCATTACAGCGTGATGAGACCGATCTGCCCTCCACACACCCATCGCCTCAGCTCGCTGGTTCTCCTATTGCAGGCAGGGAAATGGAGAGAGGTGCCCCCCCCTCCCAGCCCCCCCACCTGCAGAGCCAGGGCTCCCCCTTAGAGCCACCCTTGCTGCCAGCTAACATCATGCACGTAATGGATTTGGGCAATTTTCTCAATTAGGAGTTTTAATTATATTATTTTAGCAGCTGCTTGTTCCAGGCAGCTTTTGGCTGCATTTCCTGGGCTGCCGTGAAGGTGGCAACACAACTTTGTCCTGCTGATCCAAAGGGGTGATGGGCAGAGTGAATCCTACCCCAACAAAGAGGCCGTTGGCAGGGAGCGTGCAGGATCAGCAGTGCCAGGGCTGCATGGGCACGTTGGCCTCACAGCATCGTGTCCTCCTGCTGCAGAGGTGGCAGAGCTTATGGGGACGTGCAAGCCCCAAGCCAGAGCAGGGTGCAGCTCCCCAGGGGCTGCTCACTGGGACCTCTGGCCCCCCAGACCCATGGATAACAGCATGACATGATTGCATGCACGGAAGATGCTCTCCCAAGAGGAAGCTGGGAGCAGCTGGAAGCAGCAGGCAGGGACAGGAGCAGAGATACTAAACCACAGTCCAGACCAAGGCCAGGGTGTTTGCACTTTCCCATTGTTATTGCAATAAAGAGACACAGAATTTCTGGGAGCACGGTAGGAATGGAGGGTGCAGAGGGAGGAGAAAAAGGATGATATTCAAAGCCCAGGCAGTTTGCGTCCCCCTGCAAGAATCATCCTGGTGCAGGGTGTCCCCACCATCACACCAGCTCTGCTGCCAGAGCCACCAAGCCTCCTCTGAGCTGCAGCTCTTCTACGATGCTCTATCATCTTCCTCATCACCTACATCTTCCTCTGAGAGCTCTTCCTCATGGGCTTCAGACTCGCCATCATCTTCCACTGGGGAGAGGACATGCAGGGCTGCAGCAGGAGGGGGTGGCCCTGACCTGCTGTAGCCCCCTCAGCTGCAAACACAGCCAGAGACCCCACCCCACGCTGGGCGTGGGAGCACAGACACCTTCCCTGTCGAGCCCACGGGTGCAAACAAGCACCAATCCCCCCCAGCCCAGCGGTCCCTCTGTCCCCCAGGTGAAGCAGCCCTGTTGAGGGCATCAGCTCCCACTAAAGCCACCGTGGGAGCCGGGAGCACCCCCAGAGCACCCCCTGCCCCACGCGCTCCCTCGGTGCCACTCACGGGTGATGTGCTGCCCGCTGAGATAGACCGGCCCAGCCCCACACTTGAGCAGGAAGGTGATGGGAGGGAGCAGCTCCAGACCTTTGAGGCTGACCTGCAAAGAGTCAGAGCTCAGAGACCCCAACCCCAGCCCGGGGTGGAATTATTGCCCCACACTCGGGGGCTGCCCTCACCATGGGGAGCACCGAGCTCCGCAGCGCTGCGATGGGCACAGGCTTGTGGTCTCCATAGGTGTTTTTGGAGTCAACGGTCACCACGTGCAGCTCATCCTTGGCCTCAGCACCCAGGCAGATCTGCAGAGCCCAGCAGAGAGCCCGTGGCAGGGGGGGCGCCCGTCCGCCAGCCCCGAGGCACAGCCTTGCTCCAGCAGGCTCTTCAGCGAGACCTCACCGTTTCCAGCAGGACCAAGTGTTCCAAGAAGTCATCGGCCTCCTTCACCACACAGCTCCGGGTGTCCACGCTCAGCTGGCAGCCTGCAGGGACATGCACCCTCTGCGAGCCTCAGGGGAGCCCAAAGCAAAAGCAGGACCCTCCTGGGTGCACACCCCACGGGAAAGGGGGTAACACCTCTCATGCACAGCCACCCTGGCTGCAGGGAGGGCACAGTCATTGTCCCCCCACCCACTCCTGCCTGTAGGTCCCACCAAAGCAGCCCAGGGAGTGGGGGTGTGAAGCTCCTTACCCCACAGGGCAGCAATGGGCCTCTCCTCCAACAGTGACCTGGAGAAGGGAGAAGAGCTGCTCATCCTCCACCGCAGATCCAACACCAGCAGCAGAAACCAGCTCCTGTAAGACAAAACACCAGAGAAAACAGCCTTTGGCTGCTCTGGAACAGAAATACACAGAAGAAATGTGACTCTGGAGCACCAAGAGCAAACCCTCAGGTCCCAAAAGCCCAGAGCTGGGACAGCAACATGCAGGTAGCTCACTCCTCAACCGTTTGATTTCTGCAAGAGGTGACAGCAGCTGGAGCAGCCTGCCCAGGGCAGGATAGCATCACTGAGTGAAGAGTAAAACCTCCTAGACACTGATTCATCCCCTGGGGAGTGGAAAATCCAGTTAAATGCCTTTACAGCCCAAACCAGCTCCCCCTGCAGCAGGGGAGCACCATAAGCAGAGGCAGCACAGGGCAGTTTTAGCTAACACCTCTGAGAAGCA